ATATATATATATATAAATTTATAATGTGAGGAGATTTAAGCTATATAGTCTAAACATTTATGTTTTTGTGTTATAATTTGTTGTCATTCTATAACAAAAAAGGCATTATTTACATTTATTTCCTAATTTTTTATGGTGGTTACAAGATCAGTCAAATCTACCGAAACTGTACAGAGATTTGTTAGTGAAAGTAACATATAAAATATAAAGTTTTTTCTTAAGAAACATTTGACAACTATCTAAACATTATATAAGATTTTGTATGTGAAATTTGAAAATTTTCTGATGCATATAAGTATTTTTAATCTTAAAATGAAAATTACTTTGCACGTTGGATATGCACCATGCAAAAAGAAAAAAAGGCATGAGAAAAACTCTAACAAACTTTAAGACTTAAAACAAGTCACTGTACTATTTCATAGAAAATCTTCATTCAGTACAATTGCTGGAACCTTTAGATATTATGGTAACTGGTGTTGATTTGGGATGGGGTTTGGAATATTAGGTAGAATATATATGTATATCATCAATATAACATAAATGTTTGAGTTTTAACAAGACACATGTTAATGATTATACATATATTTATAAGTCTGTCGATTCACTGCTTACCTTAGTTAACTCCTTGAGATCCAGGTGCATCAATTTGATGTACCTGTTGTGTGATTTTTTTACATCACAAAAAAGTATTGGATAAATAGTTCAAAACTTTAGAATTACTTTTGAAAGATTATGTAGCTTCTGAAAATGAAATATTTTTATATATATTTGTATGAATTTGCAGCTTTAAAGAATATTTTATTGTGATACATTTTTTAATTACCAGTTTTTTCAAGGTGTGTATGAATGTTAGGAAATCTGGAAAGTTCTGGAAAACTGCTTTAATGATATCCAGTTCTTGAATATTCTGGAAAATTGGCATATTATTATTATAGGGTCACAAAAAGTCATGAAATATTCTTTTAAGTTTACTTATTGCATTCCCCATTTTAAAAGCCCCTGACCCCCACATGTATTGGAAATGACCTATCTTGATTTGATGCACTGTTTGTGCTTTAGGATAAGCTATCTGTCTTTTCAGTAAACTATATTCTTGTGGGAGTTCTGTGCTTGCTAGAGCTAGCAGGTGAAGTTGCTGCCCAATAATGGCTTAGTTACGTTTATGTTTAGTTTGTGGCTTGATTAGTTGACTAAATACTACCAAGACTTAATTGTGGGGATGAAATTATAAGTACATCAGTGGGGCTGAACGATACGCTTAAGTTAATATGTAACGATGAGCAAGTTGGCTGGTTGAATTTGTGGGGTCAGTTCAATGGGGAAAGGAAACTTTTTGGAATGAATGTATTACATTTAAATAGGGTAGGGGCTGGCTTGTTTGCTGTTAGCTCAACTGTTAAGACATCTTTAAACTTGGACTAGACAATGGTGAGGACTAGAATAATGAAGAAAAAATAAACATAGAGAGAAGTATAGTGTAGGAACAAAGTATAAAAGTAGTTTTAATGGTAGGCTAAACTGTTCTTATTGTCATATAATAAATAAATAAATGATTTTAGAATGCTGATCGGAACAGAGGATATTCATGTAAAGGAAATAACTGAAACTTGATCAAATACTGTATTTGTTAGGTACAAACTGAAATCTACTCACAATCAAAATTTGTAGTTTTTATAAATGTTTTTAATTCAGTGACAATATTTTCCCCTTGAGGTAGACTGCAACCATTCAAGAGTGAAAAAAAATTACAGTTATGATTTTGAATCTGACAAATATACACTTCATAAGATTTAAAAGTAATAAGTGTACAGTGTAAATTGTTGAAACTAGACAGAATTGTATGACTTGAACATTCTATTTTTTAAGTCTTTCTTTTTTCTAGCCCCATTATTTCTAAGATATTAGGATGTACGAGATTGAGGATGCACTAATTTTTTAAGGAATAAAAAATTAATGACTTTACTTCATAGTGGCACAGATATCATTTTACACTTGTTTAAATTGTTGTGTTATTTTACGATTTTATGCAAAATTCCAAAGATTTTTTCAACTGCTTTTTTTTCTACTAATAATTTTTCAGAAATAATTCACAGTTCTCCAATTTGCATCTCAGTCTTACAAATGCTTGAAATAGTCTATTAAAAAAGTGTGTAAGAAGTAAGCATCTAGGGTGCACTGGTCATTTTTGAGAGGGAAATGGCAGAAAAATGTGGTTCTGCCTCGTCCCCAATGACTCCAACAAAGAAGAGAAAAGTTTATAACGAGCAGGAGTTTAGGCAAAAATTTACAGATGATTTACTGAAGAAAAAAAAAAGTGCTACCTACAGGACTATTAATCAGTAGGTCTGATATTCATTACACTTATACTACAGCTTTGCTTGCATAATTAATAATAATAAATGCAATGTATAACTGTGAGGTTAATTTTAATATAAATTAAACCCAAACTCAGATTTACTGTTGAAACAGTATACTGTTTCTGTGTCTAATACTTGACACAAACACACACACACACCTCTTATTTTTTCATGTTGTAACATGTAACATTAATGTTATCAATGATTTTAGTTCCAATATCTTGCATTTAAGATGTTTCATGAATACAGTTCCGTTCTAGTGATAAATTTTAGAATAAGCCAGGCCTCGACAAATCCCGGTCACCATGGCAACTAAAAATTCCATCATGGTGGCTAATATTTTCACCCATTTTATTCCTGTGTTGGGCTTTGCTAAATAAAAGTCGAATGTAGAACAGTTCTGGACTCTTAGAAGTATTTTCGCTTTCTTTGAGTCCTAAATTGAACTTTGTTTCTAGTATTTTAATGGTGGATTCAGCACTTCATGTGTTTTTTTCAGGAATGAAGCCCTGCAGTTGCACAACACATTACTAATTTCGTGCCACATTGTTTTTCTTTTTTCTCACAATCCAACCAATCAGTGTGCATGTTTAGACTCAGGTGGGACCAAAGGCAATTAGTTCAGGCAGTGCTATCAAGTGGATGTTGATATCATGTGATTGTTAGAATGCACTCGTTGCTGTGAAACTAAATAAATATATATTGCCCCCATTTCCTGGTACAAACAGTAGTGAAGTTAGGTTAGGCACACCTGACTCCTGAGTTTTTGGGCTGGCTCCTAGATCTGAAAATATTTGTTGAGGCCTAGGGTAAGCCTATAATAAAGACAGTATGGAAGTTATAGTTTAACCTTCTTACTACAGGTAGACTAAAGTGTGTATGTCATGAACTTTTACAGAGTTAAATTCAGATTTGATTAAAGTACTTGATTATCAGTGTTTATGAATAAACTTGGCATCAAATCATAGTTAAATGAAATTTTGATATTATATATGCTATAATTTCTTAGTTTTAAAAGGAAATATTTAAATATATCCTCGATCTTTCCTTATATGAGGATCATGACATTTCTTCTTTAGTTTTTGCCCATTCTCTAATGTATTTACTACCTATTTCTGAAATACAGAGTTTAGCGTAATTATTCATTATCATATAAATATTACTAAAGTCTAATTTTATGGCCTTAATTTTTCTTTGTTTACTAAGACATAAACTAGAAAGTAAGATTCACTTACCATGCCCATCTTTCACACCTCTCAATCACAAATTGCCAATAATTCTCTGACATTTTATATCATTTATAATCAGTAGAAAGACTAAGCTTTATTCTATTGAATAACATATATTACAATATTTTCACTCCAGAGTATTGTTTATTTCTTCTTTAGGTTGAAAATGTCACTTATGGTGTTCAGATTGTGTCAGGTTTTTATATGTATAGATGGGCAGGATTCTTTACAGTAGGTGCCTGTGACTTGTTGGTTTTAAATTTAAACAATAAACAAATAGCACATAACATCATCATCATCATCATAGACAGCTGTACATCGATAATTCTACCGATGCTTAGCTGCCACACAATCATGAATTATTATTACAAGAAAATGGGGACAAAAGTGGGATCTAACACGCCATGAATACGGAAATGGTGGAGCACATACAGGCGGGGGCACAGCCATGCAAGCGTTTTTGGAAGAGTTCATGATTGTGTGTGGGCTGGGATACTGTCAGGTCGCCCAGGCCTAGACAGGAGAACAATTAGGGTCCTCAGCCAAAGCCTTTGGCTAAAAAGCCTAACCCACAAGGCAGCGGGATGAGACTGAGTTGGTCTGACCTCTATCCATCGACCTGCCGGGTATGAGCGGCTCTACTGGTATTCGCGGGAACATCATCCCGTATAGCTCGATGGGTCAGAGAGGTATGCAAACCGCCGCACCACGCTAAGGTCCAGTCTCAAGCACATAGCCCACTTGTTTTATGATAATATATTAAAATGAGTCAACTACAAATGTTCATTACACAGTTAATCACCACAGTTCTATTCAGAGTTTAAATAATTCTCTCTTTTTATCAAATTTCCACATAGGTTTCTTCAGTTACTTTAGAATACGATTGAAAAGACAAATTATTTTTCTCTACTCTGTTGTTACAATACAATACATAAACACACAATCTAGCTCTAGCTATCTATTTAACTAACTGTCTGTTTTTAAATGACGTTTTGTATGCATATTTATAGACTGACAGAGGCCTACACACAAATGAAACAACGAGAAAAACTTAGAAGTTTCTAGTAACATGATGCAATAACACAAGCATCAGTTCACAACAACTGAACTATGCAATGTATGATTCATACACGGTTATGTAAACAAACCTATTATAAACTGTCACTTCTGAAAATAACTAAATTTAACACTTGCGCTATGGTTAAATGGAAACAGTCGTATACTTAACATTTAGAAGCTTAAATAATTCTTTTAAGGCTCTTATGCCATAGTTAGAAACACATTTAAATTATAATAGTTATAGGATATGTTTACTTTGTGTGTTGTTATTATTATTATTTTTAGATGCATTATTTAAGTAAATAAAAATTATTTATTGTATAAAAAAGTAAGCTTAAATTTCATTGGCAACCAATAGCAAAAGAAAAAGCTAGTTCAATGGTATATACTGTATTTCTTGTTGTTCATATATATTCTTTATTTATTATTATAAAAGTAACTAAAATGTAAAAATTATAAACTTATTAGTTTATATTAGATAAGATAACGAAAAATAATAATAAAAATTCTTCATGGTGTATGCTTGCAAGCAGCTTCTACATTACATCAACCTGAGCTAGTTGTTTGTAGAGTAACGTATAACTAGTGTGGCAGGATTATTAGTTAGACACAGTGCAAAGGGCAATAAAAACAGTAAAATTAAGTATAAACAGATGTAGACTGTTATAACCTTTAAGCTATTTAGGATAAACAATTGTGCTTTTCTGTTACAATCTGACATCATTCTAGAGAGAGAGAAAAGTAATTTCGATTTATTTTTTTATGTTGGTTACAAGGTCAGTCAAATCAACTGAGTCCATACAGAATTAGGGTAGAGAAAATGATAGATAAAATATAAAGTTTTATGGAGAAAAAAGTTTGAGATTTTTTTAAGAGGTTTTAGATGGTTTTAGAGGTGTTTTAGATGTAAAAATAATATTTCAGATTTATTTTTTGTGTCCCACGGGTATTTAATGAAAGACCTGTTAGTTTCATGATGTTAGGAAAACACGTGAGTTCAAGAAATCAATTTAATTTTAAAATACGATAACCTATAACCCGAGTGCTTTTGAAAGCTCGTGGGTTATAGGTTATCGTATATTTGAGGCCTATTGGTTTTTAATGCTTCACCAGTTTTCAGTATTTGAATCATAACTCCAGCCCAATTGACAAGTTATGGTATCAAAGGAAAAGCATCTTGGCCAGTGACTTTTGGGAGTAAAAGATGGACTGAGATGCAATTTTTCGTACTTCTGATTTTAAATCCAAAATGGACATATTAAAATAATTGTGAGGAAAAAACATATGCAGTTAACATGATTTTTATCATAAGTATTATGTCATTTATGCTCACTCCTAATTTATACAATCTAAATTGTGTGACGTTATGCACTATAAATAGTAAAAAGTTTTAAAGTTTTCACTGTCATTGTACAAGTACTATTAACTCAGAGTGTTATATCACATCCACACATTTTTATCATGTCTCACTATAGTTCAAATTGATTCACAATTAGGCATTCTCTTATCTTTAATAGTGTCATGACACACATCTTCGAAAGTAGTATAAATCATTGTAAGTTCAAGTGTAACTTGTACACAGAATATAATGGAAGTTCTACAGAAATAAACTAATGATTGTAATAAATATGTACTGTCTTTTGTTAAGTCTAAAGTGTTAGTAAACAATGTCTAGTTTTTAATTGTACAAAAATGTGGAGACAGTGTGGGGTGACTGTAGTCTGCAGAATTATTCACACAAGCAAGTAACAGTAGGGAAATATTAGTATGACAAAGTAAATATTTTGAAAGATATGAATATTTTGAATGCTTTGTCAGCACAAATAAAGTTTTTGACATTCTCTGTATATGATATTTGGTTGTATGTTTTTATGCAGTATTTATGATTTTTACAATTAGTTTTTCTGTGCTAATATCATTAGCAAAATGTCTCACATTTTATAAGTAACTTGAAACTCAAACAAAAAGAAATTATAATCCTATCTCCTTTCTAATATTTCGTAATTAATTATATGCTTAACATGGTTAATTTATACCTGCCTTAATTTTTGATAAGTATATTGTAAATAAAAATATGATTTTTATACTTTTGAATCCAAGTTGTTTTACAGATTTCATGTTTGAAGTGTTATCTTTGTTCTGTTTAGCACCCTGTTAGACTCTTACCGACACATTCTCGCCAGAGTTCCAGTCCTGATTCTTTGCTTCAATTTCATCAACAGAAGGGTGATTATTTTAAACCAGCTTATAGCCTTTCAAGGACCCAAAGTGAACTAAGTCATCACCCATTTGGTAGAAAGTCAGATCACTTACCAGATTCAGTGAAGAAGAGACGAAGACAGACAAATGTCATTCTTCGGGTGAGTAGATTTTCCATGAAACAGTAAGTACTTTCAACAAAAAATTGCAATTTGAGATTACACAATATTTTTCATTGTATAAATTTTATACTGTAGTCCTTGTGGAAATGACCCCTCCCAATAACGCCTTCCTTTTAAATACAACTTTTTTTCTGTGCCTGGAATGATTTTACATTGATCTCACCTCCCACGAACAACTGTCTGACAGATGTGACATACATTCTGATTTTTGGGCGGAAGGTCAAATAACAACCTCTCTATAACGACTTCATATCAATAATGTAGTTCACAGCCACAAAGGAATACAGTATATATAGTATGGAACAAAGAAGTCACATGACCGGAGATTGCTTCACAGCTTAATATATGTATCTGGGTATCCTGTGGTGTTCAAGTTAAACTCCTCGGTACATACACATTTTGGTTTAAAAACTCAGTTCTCGAAAGAAAACCAGGGCCAGTCAGAAACTGTTGTCTGTCTTTGCCCCACTCACGAAAATTAAGGTTTATGCTTTTAGTGAATGTAGTAGATTTTGAGCTAGTGGCCTAGATATTAAGTAACTTGATTAGTATTTACTAGTAGGATGTGAAGATTATTAACTCGGTGTTTGTTGAGTGACAGACTCGACTAATCTGTGCAGTAACCATGGCTAAGGAAATGCCTCAAGGCATCCAGGAAAGCTGCGAATGTCTCAAGCTGAGAACAGAAAGTTGCTATGAAGAAGGCTCGAAGTGTTGATATTGAAGTGTGAAGTGGATGTTGATATAGACCAAAGTTGTAATGAAAGCAACAAAATAAACAAAACATGGAAATTAAAGAATTTTTAGTCATCTTGAAATTGGTTTAATGCAACATGTTACATTTTATGATTTTATGTAGCATTTGTAGGATTAGCAATAATTGAGTTCAGATATTTATTCTTATTTCTTTACTGGTTCTTTTAAATATGCAGAATGATCCCTTTTCTGAGCTGGGATCAAAGGATCCAAGTTTGAAGGTGAAATTTTGGTTTAGGGTGGGGCTGTTTTGTTCAGTTTAGATACATAGCTTCTAATGGTTCGTTTTTGTTCAAAATTACAGCCTTTTGTATGGATATACTGTGGATTTTTTGAGTTGCAGTGGTGGTAAATATGGGATGTTTTTTTATTATGTTCAGTTAATCTGGTTTCCAATTTTCTTCCGGGTTTCTCTGATGTAGAATTATGGACATATATTGCACATTATTTTATAAATTGATACTAAAATAGTGTGCTGAAAACTAACAACACTTCGTGATATAAACCTTTCGAGATGACTCACTTTTCATGAATTTATGTCAATAAGTGTGGTATCAAACTGTTGATTATAATTCAAATTTTAGTATTATACATTATTTAATTTCTTAATTTCAAATATTAGAAAAATACAGGTAAACATAAGATTTTTGTGTGTCACATTGTATGTTGAATGCAGCACTGGTTCAAATTAGATGTTTGTGAAGTCAAAATACTAAGTATAGTTTCATAGAAACTCAAATTACAGATATTGACAAGATAGAATATAGAATAAGAACCTCGTATGTTTTCTGTTTGCTGAGATATCACTCACTTAATAAATCAAACACAGTGGCACCCTGCTCACCTCTTTCCATTTTTGGAAATGCTCCCTTATATACACTTACTTCTATGTATGACATGAATAACCAATCGGAAACTCAGAATGTCCCCCTAGTGGTTTTCTCATCCTTTCTAACATACCCAGTGCCATTTCTTTATTTTGAATGAAGATTTCAATGAGGTAGTGTCTTTAGTCTGCTCAAAATTTCTTATTTTTTTAGACCCAAATACAGCTTAGTTACTAAGCTTGATAAATTATAGTAGAATTCTATGGTATTGATGTAATAATTTATGATTTTTTTAGTTATTCAAAAATATATATAGAACTTAAAAAATATATTTTGTTTCGTATCCTCCACGTGCAAAATTTTTAAAGGCTTAGCAACCTATGTCAAGCAGCAACTGAGTACAAAGGTCATAACTAGAAGAGATAATTGTTTGCTTTACTTCTTTATTTGCTGTTTTATGTTTAGGAAAAATAACTTTTAGAACTTATTTCAGAATAGCAATAATCTAAATACATATATAATGTATAATAAATGAAATGTGACTGTATTTTACAAAATACTAGTCATTTAAAACACAGCCAAGACAAGTTACTTTGTACAGACCAAAGGTCACCTTTATTGTTACCTGTATTGTTAGCCAGACATGGTTGAAAGGTCAATATAATAAAAATAATAAATGTATAATTATGAGATTTAAGCTATTTAGTCTAAACATTTATGTTTTTGTGTTCATTCTAGAATGAAAGAGGCATAATTTATATTTATTTCATAATTTTTTATGGTGGTTGCAAGATCAGTCAAATATACCGAACCTGTCCAGAGTTTAATTACTGAAAATAACAGAATAAATATAAAGTTTTTTCTTAAGAAATATTTGATAACTATCCAGACTTTAGAAAGATTTCGTGTGTGAAATTTAAAAATTTTGTGATGCATAAAAGTATTTTTAATCTTGAAATGAAAATTACTTTGCATGATAGATAGGCAAGACGTGAAAAGAAAAAAAGGCATGGTAGAAACATTGCTTTACAAACCTTAAGACTTAATAAAAAAAATTAGATATGTTGTGTATG